TTTATTGTATTTATTTATTTATTTTTGAGACAGAGTCTCACTCTGTTGTCCAGGCTAGAGTGCTGTGGCATCAGCCTAGCTCACAGCAACTTAAAACTCCTGGGCTCAAGCAATCGTACCTCAGCCTCTTGGGTAGCTGGGACTACAGGCATGCGCCACCATACCCAGCTAATTTTTTCTATGTATTTTTAATTGTCCAGCTAATTTCTTTCTATTTTTAGTAGAGATGGGGTCTTGCTCTTGCCCAAGCTGGTCTTGAACTCCTGAGCTCAAACCTCGGCCTACCGGAGTGCTAGGATTATAGGCATGAGCCACTGTACCCAGCCTGGACAAAGGATTTGAATAGATATTTCTCCAAAGAGGATATACAAATGGCCAATAAGCACATGACAAGATGCTCAAGATCAGTATTCATTAGAGAAATGCAAATCAAAGCCACTGTGAGGTATTATTAATACTTCATACCCACTAGGATGGCAGTAATAATAATAGCAACTATTGATGGGAAATGGAGAAATTGGAACCATCATACAGTGCTGGTGGGGAGGTGAAATGGTGCAGCTACTGTAGAAATTTTCTCAAAAAGTTAAAACAGTGTTATTGTATGACTTGGCAATTCCACTCCTAGATACATACCCAAGAGAATTACAAACGTATTATGTCCACACAAAAATGTTCAGAGCAGCATTATTCATAACAGCCAAAAAGTGTGGAAAAACTCAAGTGTTCATCAGCCAGTGAATGGATAAACAAAATGTGGGCTATCCATACAACGGAATATTATTCAGCCATAAAATGAATGAAGGACTATTACATGCTACAACATGGATGAACCTTGGAAACATGATAAATGAAAGAGGCAACATAAAGTCCACATATTGTCTGGTTCCATTTATATGAAATATCCAGAATAGGCAAATCCATAGAGAAGGAAATTAGATTAGTGGTTACGAGGAGCTGGAGGGAGAGGGGAACTGGGACTAAGTGCTAAAGGTACTGATAATGGTGTTATGGTATGTTCTGGAACTTAGTGGCAATGGCTGCACAATACCGTGAAAATACTTAAAACCACTGAATTGGACACTTTAAAATGGTAAATTCTGTGGTATATGAATTCTATCTCAAAAAACAGGTATTCCGTCACATATTATTTACCAAAATAAGCTTTAATTAATAAAGTTAATTCCATTCCAACAAACGTTGAAGGGGCAAAGATGGCCCTAAAGTTGTGAAGAAAGAAACGGTATTAGGAAATTTTCTAAATTTTTTTTTCTTCTTTGAGAGAAAACTTTTTTTTAATACTTGCGCTTGGAAAATCTCATGTAATCGATAAACCTTTCTCCTATCTTGAAATTAGTCTTGCCAAGGAATTCCCCACGTTGAGATATAAAGCTCTGAGTCCTGTGCAAGCCTTGCACACCCTGATTCATCATCTGATCCTGCAGATGAGACAGCCCTGTCTTTGGGATACACCTCCTTGGATTTACCACTCTGTGGGACATTGAATTCTAGTTTAACCCCTGGGAAGCACCTAGAAAACTACCTCCTTGTTACTGTTCCTGCTCATTCTGGGTTTAAGTTCTCAGTCCCTACACACATCTGTGATACTTAAGTCCTAGAGCAGCAGTCCCCAACCTTTTTGGCAGCAGGGACTGGTTTCATGGAAGACAATTTTTCCACAGACCCGGGGCGGGGGGGTGGAAATGGTGAGTGACAGGGAGTGGCTGTAAATACAGATGAAGCTTCACTTGCTCAGCTGCCACTCACCTCCTGATGTGCAGTTGGATTCCTAACAGGCCATGGACTGGTATACTGGTCCAAGGCCCTGGGGTTGGGGACCGCAGCCCTAGAGTACTATCTTGCCCATTCCTTCCTTGGCCCACTGTCTCTGTTCCAACACCCAGACTTAAAATCTCCACTTCTGGCTGTGTGTGGTGGTATACACATGTAGTCTCAACTACCGAGGAGGCTGAGGCAGGAGGATCACTTGAGCCCAGAAGTTTGAGGCTATGGTGTGCTATGATTGCACCTGCAAATAGCCACTGCACTGCAGCCTGGGCAACATAGCAAAACCCCATCTCTTTTAAAAGAAAACCCAACGACAAATAGTCCAGGCACAGTGGCTCATGCCTGTAATCCTAGCACTTTGGGAGGCTGAGGTGGGAGGATTGATTGAGGCCAGGAGTTTGAGACCAGCCTGAGCAACATAGTGAGAACCCATCTCTACAAAAATTAGCCAGGCATGGTGTTGTATGCCTGCAGTCCCAGCTACTTGGGAGGCTGATTTGGGAGAACCATCTGAGTCCAGGAGCTTCAGGCTGCAGCAGTGAGCTAGATCACGCCACTGCACTCCAGCCTGGGCAACAGGAGGAGACTGTCTCTAAAAAAAGAAACTCTACTCCTGTACGACCTTTCCCTGAATAAATTCTATAAAACTTGAAATACACATTCTTTCATTTCTTCCATTTCTCAACAAACTATAATAATTATAGATGGTTTTATTCTCTATTAACCAAGAGGTCAGTGATTCTACCTTTCCTGTTTAGAAATGGAAACTGAGGGAATGGCCCAGAGGTTTTCCGTGATCTTGTAGTTTTAGCTGGAGCCACTGGGTGCCACTCTTGTGCCACTAACAAATTATTTATAACTACATGGCCATTACCAGAGGGAAACATGATCTTCAGTGGAAGAAGCAGTTTCTACTCAAGGCCCTGGATCACTTATCTTCCCTGGGCTTAGGCCCCCGTACTATATAGCAACAAAATCCCATATGGTAACAATGTTAGTAGGCTTCAGAGCGAGGAGATCTCAGTACAAATCCTAGCCTTGAAGTTACTGGCTATGTGACTCTGGGCAAATAATGAAAGTTCGTTCTGTAACCAGTTTCCTCATCTATACATAAAATGAGAAAACTAAGACCTAACTCATAACATCTTTGTGGAGGTTAAAGTGGAAATCTTGGCACAGATTAGTAATGCTACTTCCTTCCAAGACCTTTGACTACTGGTAAGACCTTGAGTTCAGTAGCCATCTGCCAAGTTAACTGGGGTATGAATGGCCCTAAGGCTATGAGCTGTCATTATAGCAAAAGAGTAGGGTAAAAGAGGTCACATCATTTCTTTCTGAGAAATGATTAGATATCAGAGAGGCCCAAGCAAAAGGACTTCATAGGCTGAAACATTCCTATATCCCAAGGAGTCTCTCTCTGTCCGTATATCCCAGGTCCTATGATAATGGCACATGCCTTACCCTAAACCTGTCCGTAGAAAGCTGAAGATGTGGATGGCTGTAGTGAACTGTAGGGCCCCCCCCACAATATGTCACAGCCCTAACCCCCAGAACCTGTGAATGTGAGCTTATTTTGGAAAAGCATCACATTTGCAGATGTAATTAAGGATCTCAAGATGGGATCATCCTGGAATTACAGTGGGCCCTGAATCCAATGACAGCTGTACTTATAAGAGAAAGGCAGAGGGAGATTGGACAGAGGGGAAAAGCTATGTGAAGCTGGAGATAGAGATTAGAGTTAATGCAAGCCACAAGCCAAGGAACACCTTCCACCAGAAGCTAGAAGGGACAAGGATGGATTCTCCCCCAGAGCCTTGAGAGGGAGTCTGGCCCTGCCAATACCATGATTCGGACTTCTGGCCTCCAGAACTGTGAAAGAATAAATTTTGGTTGTTTTTAAGCCATCAAGTTTATGGTAATTCCTTACAGCATTCCTAGGAAACTGATACAATGGGTTTTAGTTCTGTTTGATCAAGGTATGGGCAGCAGCTCTCCAAGTTGGAGGGAAGCTGGTGAGAGTACTTGTGGTGAACCAGCTGAAAGGAAGAGCAAACACATTCCTACGAAGGTGTATCCTAGAAGGTACATACAGCATGAAAAAAGGTGTGGCAAAGGGGGCATTTATAGGGGTTTATTGCTGCTCTGTGCCTTTCTAGTTACACTGAAGAGGAGGATGGGCGACTCCATGAGATGCCATGATTCCTAGGTGCCTCAACTTCCCCATCCAATCAGGCAAGCAGCAGTAGGAGGGGGAGAGACGATGCAGAGGAAGTGCTAAAGGCCT